CTGCACGTCCTCACAAACACACCTACCTATAAACACACACAGAAGGTGAAGATATTCAGTGCCCGTGCAGAATGACAGGAACTTTTCATGCTCCTCTACAACTGATCCTACAACTGATAGTGCCAACTCCAAAGTAGCTGAGCAAGTCAAGCAACGCTCCTCCCTGGAACGCGGGGGAAGTCTGCTAACACAGCACTTGCCTCTGCAGAGGAGGAGATTCGATCTTATCACATCAGGTTTATCCACTCAATCTTCTCAGCCTCCTTCAGAAAGATGTTATTGCCCTCCCCAGAGCGAGTTTACAAAGCTGCACAGTCAATACCAACACATTAAGGGCAAGTTCCAGACAGGCTGTCGCGTGGGCTTCGCCACCCTCAGGCTCTGCCGCCCCACAGCACCGTACCACAGCCCACATCCGACCGCGCCGTCACGTCACACGTCAACACCGACAGAGCTACTTGTAACAGGCTCCCATCTGCCCCGTGCCAGCTATAGGAATTTCAGCCTCTTATAAAAACAGCACATAAGGGGAGTACGTGCCAGGAAGCGCTACTAGGGGTTATTATCTCATCACGAGATGACAGAAGTTATCACACACAGCTACAGCCATCGTTTTGTACTCCTCAAGGCCAATACACACTCCTCCCATCACCTTCTGCAGGCAGTAAGCAAAATGCTACGCTTTTACTTTGAAGACTGCTCTATAAGTAAACTACCAACAACAACAAGAGACAAATACTACGAAGGGTTTCATCATTGCCAGACAGATAACTGAGCTTCTCTCTTGGAAACCTGCAAACCCACCCACCAAATAACGCAACAGTAATGTTTTGTCATTAATTTGAAGTTCATACAAATCACTTAATGCAATAATCATCAAAAAGCAGTAATCCTTGGAAGGTAATTTGCTGCTTCTTGCTTGAGAAATACTAGAGACTTCACTTCTGCTTTTTATTTAATATTTGCAAGTAGCATCTGAACACACTGTTTCCCTCTCAATTTTTTTCATATAATCAGACAGACCAAGGCTTTTAAGTTTTCCTAGTTCATCAAATCCTGTAGTGAAATCAGTGGGTGACACATGCCTAAATAGCACCTTTGCTACATGGACCACGGTTTGGGAATTTTGTGAGCAAGTTTACCCACACAGTTGAAGCAATCACCAGACAAATTAACCCAGCACAGCACCAGGATGCTTCCACTTTATTAACCATCTCTCTCTTCCGAACATCTGAAACACCATACGATAGCAGGCCACAAGTACTGCTACGCTTGCAAGGCAAATCCTGCACCAACACGCAAAAATATCATTCACAGAACCAGGGGCCACTGCTTAGACACCATCAGAAACTGAACCCACAGCTACACTGCTCTTTCACAGCACCCATGAAAAAGAGGTAACCTCAGTACCGAGTCCATCGCAGAGAGCAGCTGCCAGGTAGAAACGCCAACAACCACCCAGAGAACTGAATGAAAGCAGTACTAAGGCTTTAGCACGAGAAAAGACTGCAGAATCATATCCTTCTCAAGTACACCGTTTGATAGTGCCTGTTCCTACGGCAGCACACAACGAGGTTTTTAACTTCCACACGGCAGCACATGCTACAAAACTTCGACAGGCATCGTTACACTCACTGCTTCGGGGTATACCAGATCTTTACTCAATTTTGGAACCACATACCTAGAAGGCGGCCTGTCAGAGCAGTGACTGGCTCTGGAACTGGGCCGTTCAGGCTCAGGATACCGATAGCTCCCAGGATCCATATAAGCCGCGCCGGTACTGTCGTAGTGTCTGTACCGTGGGTCATATTGCCCATAGTTATCCTCCTAGAAAAGAGATTGACACGTAAGGGAAGAGGCTTCCCACCTCCAAGAATCACAGAATCATAGAATGTTTGGGCTTGGAAGGGAACTCTAGAGATCATCAGTCCAACACTCCGGTCGAAGCAGGATCACCTCTGGCGGGTCACAGGGGAACGCGTCCAGGCGGGTTGGAAAGTCTCCAGAGCAGGAGACTCCACACCCTCTCTGGGCAGCCTGGGCCAGGGCTCCATCACCTTCACAGTACAGAAGTTTCTCCTCATGTTGAGGTGGAACTTCCTATGTTCTAGTTTATACCCATTATTCCTTGTCCTTTTACTGAGCACCACCAAAAAGAGACTGGCCCCTTTCTCTTGACGCCCACTCCTCAGCTATTGGTATAAGATCCCTCCCAGCCTTTTCAAGACTAAAGAGCCCCAGTTCTCAGTCCATCTTCACAGGAGAGATGATCAAGTCGCTTACTCATCCTCAAAACTCTAAAACCCAACAAATCGCCACACGCACCACAAATGTGGTACCTGAAGAGATGCAGATCACCAGGTTATGTAGAGCCCTTTGATGCCTGCTGTGGCAAGTTAATTCAAGTCTGTTAATATCCTAACCTTTAGAAGAAAAACATTACATCTGGGCTAAGAGCAGTTGAACCACTCTGCTAAACTGTGAATCATTCAAGCAGCAGATAAGAAGCAAATCTGAACACCTGGGCACCTAAGAGAGTTATAACAGCCAACTTTTTCCAAAGAATCAAATAAACTGCTATTAGTTAACATCTGTGCCAAATGGAATTGGCATTTAAGTTTTCATAATGTTTGTAATGTAAGTTTCGTTACTGCTATCCGGATCTTCCCCACAACTAAATACTTAACATGAATGCTACAGACTGAATATTGACAACGACACAACTGTTTAAACTGTTACACTTATTAACACATGCTGAGCCCGGAAGAAGGGAAAAATAAAGATTTACCATGTAATAAAGATGAGCTGCTGTTCTGGGGTCAGCAGGAGGGTAAGGTGGTGGATACGGAGGTTGGTAAGCATCGTAAGGATTTCTGTAGTAGTAGTAAGGGTTCTGGGGTGGACCAAAGGCATCCTGAGGGGTCTGCGGCAGGGACGGACGCTGCAGGTCTTGTTGCGCGTTTGGGACACCTGATTGACCGGTGGTGGTAGAAGGGGCAGTGGAAGTCGGAGCACCCAAGGCCTGTCCAGACACCTGCTGCTTCTCAGGACTCGTCTGACCACACCTCACTGCTGGCTGGGCTGAACTTGCCTCTTGGGGCCCCCCAGGCTGAGGATGGTTACTCAGCACCTGGTTCTCACGCTGCTGTGATACTGGTGTGGCTTTAGTCCCTGTGGCCACCTGGTAGTTTGAAGGAACTGAGGGCTGCCCAGATGCTGGTTGCTGCATTTGAGGTTGAGGTGGCAACGCTCCCTGCACAGCTCTGTCTGCTACAGGCTGATGCTGTACATCTTGTGTCACCTGTTGATAGAAACGCTGTTGGTCACGCATCTCAGGACCCACCTGACCAGCGCTCCCAGCTGACTGGTGAGGATATACTGGACCACCAGAAAGTGTTTGATTATGCACCTGCACAAGACTACTTGCACTGCTTTTCTCCAACGTCCGTGACACTGTGAAATCGAGCGCTCCAGCAGCTTCTTCTTTGCTGTTTGAATGACTTGCAGAATTACTAGCCTGTACTACAGAATTAACAGAGGGCACTAGTGCAGTTGCACTTCCACTGGGGAGATTTGTCCCAGGAGACATGGATGAGTTAGACCCTGGCTTGCTAGCAAATTCAGGAACAAAACCTTCCACGTTAACATTTTTTTGCCCTTCTGGGGCCAAATTAAGTGGAGTTTTCATAAGCAAGTTTGCAGGCTGATTAGAAGCGGTATCGGAGGAATTAACAGGGCTTTGTAACAAATTATGTTTTAACAGATTAGTATTTGGAAGTGCATTAACTAACAGAGATCCAACTTGCATCACAGGCAATGGCACGTTTTCCCCAGAAACGATCCCACCAGCATGCGAAGTTTGGGGACCCATTGCAGGCTTGTCCCCAACTCCAGAGTCCTTCATTGGCTGACTGTTTTCATTGCTGCTTAGCTGATTAGATAGAGAAACAGAAAAATTAATTGGCTGAGCCAAGTTATAGCTTTGATTAGGCTGAGCAATCAGGACAGGCTGATTTTGCAAAGACTCTGTAGGTGGAGAAGACAACAAACTTGCATAACCAGAACTTGCCTGAGACTGAAGTGCCTCCTCTTCTCCCATTTTGGGAGGATTCTCAAGATTTTCAGACGCTATATTTCCATCTTGGGAAAGATGCACTGCCATAGTCCCTGGTTTACTTGGCGGCTGATTAGACAGACCTTCTTCTGGTGGCTGAATGACTTCTACACTTTGTTTAGCAGGTACATACACTGCAGGAGCAGCAGGGGCTAGAAGAACATTTCCCCCAAAATTAGGTAACTCATTATGAGCCCACAAAGTTGTTGCTGGGCTATCACACTTCTTAACTGCTCCCTGTGCTCTCGTTGAGGACCTCCTCTCAGATACTGATTGTATGTTTTCCATAACAGGTCCAGAGTGCAACGTATTTCCAGTTTCACCAGTGACTGCAAGAGGCTGTGGGTGCACCTTAGGCATGAATATAGTTTCCAGGTTATCTGGTGGCTGTTCCAGGTTGCCTGGGGATGCAGCTGGCAGAGCTGTACTCTTCTTGATATTCTTTTGGTTTGAGTGGTTCTCTCTCAATTCAACCACCATCTTTGCTTGGTCAATCTCTGCAGGTTTTATACCAACTCCGTGGGACCTAACGGGTTCAAAAGAACTATTTGCACTTGTCTGAAATACTCCTGTAGGCTTAGGAGGACTTGGAGTTGGAGGCTGGGATAGGTTACCATGGTAGTTCTTGCCCAGGTTTAGCTCACTTGCATCACCTCCCAAAGGAGAAGAGTCAATCTGCTTGAAGAAGCTAGCGGAAGATTCCTCATCAGGTTTCCCACTTTCTTGCTGAATAAACGTACCGACTTGCTCTTGAGGTCTTGCTGAACTAGAAGCACTCCTATGGCTAATGTTGCTGTAATTCGAAGATACACTGTCTGGTCGGACAGGGTGAGGTAACGAATCAGGTGCCTCCAGATTTGGTCCTCCTTCAGCATGGCTCACAACAGTGTTCTTTGGAAGCATCTGACTTGGAAAGGATCCATACCTGTAGAGATCGGGACCAGCAGCAGGGGACGAAGCACTGATGTTCAGTGGTTCACTTGGCAGCACTTCTTGATTCTGAATGCACTCCAGGTTCTCGACGTTTTCATACTGCGACCCACCGTTCCCAGCCACATCACCTATACACGCCTTGTCATCACTAACAAACATGGAGTGCTTAGCGGCCTGCATCTCCTGCTGACTTAAAATTTTAGGAAAGTACTGGACATCCATTCCTTTTTGTACCATCTCATTGGCTGGACCTGTACCACCCTGTGCCTGACAGAGAACGCTGGCTGTAACCCGCTGAGGATGCACTGGCTGATGATACAAGGATGCCGAATTTGGCTGACAGCCATCAAACTCTGTTTTCTCAACAAGGTAATTTTTTTCAGATGAAAGTATTTCTTCATTTTCTGCCTCGTCCCCTTTGAAAAACATGGAGAGAGTTCCTGAATCTCGATCTGTGGGAATAGGTCTATTGGACATTTCAGACATAGCCGGAGACTGGCTTTGGGGGTTATTTTCCTGAGCTGCGGGAACAAAACTGGAGTCTTGCAACGGCGGCTGTGGGCAAAACTGCTCGTGGTATGGTTGGCCCAGCCAGGCGTTAGGCATTTCTGCGTTCTGCCTAAACACATTTCCAGGCTGGATACTGTTCACGTGATGACTGCTATTTGCAGAGCCATTCTTTTCACAACCAACGGATAAAGGCGCTTGCATGGTATTTTGGGGAATACCTTGGTGTACAGGACCCTGCTGTAAATTCATCTGTGGAGGAGGATGAGAAGTGCTAACAGAAGACTGAGAAACGTTACGAACATCAGTCTGAGGAGATGGCTCAGGATAGGGGGCAAAATTTCGAACTGGAGACTGCAGGTTACCTTGAACAGGCCTCCACTGAGACACAGGCTGCTGAGGAGGTGGAGGGAAGAGTCCTGGTGCATTGGGTCCTGAAGGAACCTCATTCGGATCTCTACCGACATCTTGTCTACCTCCAGGTTTGTTTGATGCAGACACCATTCCAGGATGCACACTGAAAGAATTTTCAGCTGCTGCTCCTGTATTATAATGCAATGGTACCGTAGGCGCACGGAGTCCAAGATCTGCGTTTGGATGCACTTCTGCAGCACTATTTATAACGTATCCTGGGGACGGTGAAGGAATCGGAACATTAGAAAACATACTGCTATTTATTCCTGGTTGAGATACAGGAGCTGATAAAGACGTTTGCGGTCCATGAGGATTGTCCCCTGCCCGCGGCGGTGAAGTATGCGTAACGGCCGGCTGCGGAAACACCGCCGGCGAAGAACTTTGCATAACCAACGCATTGCCCTTGGATGGATTATCTACAGAGGAACCCTGTGGAGTTTGCCTGCCAAATGCAAAAGGGTCTGTGACAGGCTGCACTGGGGCAGCTGTTGCATTTGCTCGTTTACCAAGCGAGCCGGTTCTCCAGTACACGTTCCGAGCGATGCCCGCAGGAGGTGGAGCTGCCGCTCCTGCTGGAACAGCCTGTGGAGGCTGCTGCATGGTGGCCTTCCAGCAGGGTCACACGCTAGATGACAAACTAGTAGTGGATGCTGTAGATAGATTCCTTCTTCTGCCCTGTTAAGGGAAAACAGATGGCAAGTCACTCTCTCACAATTCATACAGCACTTAGGTAATTTTTATTTTAGAAACAAAATTACCCAGAGAACTCAAAGTGGAAAATATCTCTCTTTTCTCTAGAACACCTAAGAAATGTACACATAACATTGTATTTCTAAAACCAAGCCCAATATGAACAAAGGTTAATGCTGTGTAGTAATAACACACATTATTTAACAACAATATAACAACGAGCTCCAAGTTGCAGTAATTAAACAGAGCTCAGTCCTGTGCACATGTTAAAATCTCAGATCATCAAAGCATAACAGTATTACTCTGTTACATGTCCTCAAATTTGTTTCGAGTAGAAGTATGCATCATAGAAAAGACATAGCAGCAGTCAGCCTACAACCAAACCTGCACTACGGCAAGATGAGACCGTGTTATCTAACTCTAAGGTCTGTTAGAGATGATCTCCAGCCCGGTTGCGCTGTTGCTCAGCGTGAATGGAGCTTTTCACAGGTAAGATGAGACGCAAGCACCTCAGGAAAGAATTCAGCGGATGTTATTCCCCTCAACAGAACACAGTCCGTTTTTGGTTTAATAAAGAAAATACTGTGTAGGGCAGTAGTATTATTCAGTTTGAGAAAAGCAACTGAGTTTTCATCACTAATGTTCTCTCTTCTAGATGAATGCTGCACAATAGTAAAATTGCATTGAGGAATATAAAAGACAATTGACTCCCCTCACCTATTATTAACCAATTCTCACTTTTAACACTAGTGGGGACTTCGGCACAGGATCAGTTATAGCTGAATTTCAGAGTGGGAAGGGCAGGCATAGAAGTATTCCAACTCTGCTAGCAGGAGCTCCAAACAATGCCAGGTAGGAATTTGGTACACAGGATGTTCAGTGCATTAATCACGAACATGTATTTTTCAATTTTATCACCCCTTCACAATCTGGGGAAAAAGGAAGCTGACAAAACCAGAGGTCTTCAGTGCTTTTCCAGCTCAGTGAAGCTTTAGCAACATGCAATAGTCTTGTTTTCTAATAGTACACAACAAATACGGTTTATATCATGTAGAGGGAAGTACCCATGGCAATTGTTTCACACCAGATGCACTTCTGTTTACAGAAGACAGGCAAAATCTGTCCAATTTTTAGTTGGTTGGGTTTTTTCAAGATTCAGCATCTTGTCAGTGAGAGTAATAAAACAGAAAGCCAGAAAAGTCAGATGTTTGTAAGCAAGCCAAAATTTTAATAGCTATAGAGAAGTTCAAATGCAAAATATTTCTGGTTAACAAAAACACGTACCAAGCGAACACCGTATAACTACATGTACTTCATAAAGATTTATAACCAAAAAATTCCATTAAAAAAAAAAAAAACCAACCAGTACCACAGAACGATCTACACAGACTTTTTATCAGATGTCTGCAGAACTTACTCTAGGGAAAAACTTCCACTCATCGCTGCAGAACCCACCAGTCCCACATATAATCCAGGCGCCTCTTTCACAGGGCCTCAAGCACCAGCCAGCAGAGACAGAGTATCTCAGTTTCTCCCCCACACCCATTATCTCCTCACCCTATCTTAAGGCTCTGTGAATTTATTAAAATTTGCCTGCTGTTAAAATGGGCAAGAAGACCAGACCTCAACAGAAAAGCATTAACTAGAAACCTTCATTAATTTCATGCATTACTTGCATTTGTTTTCAATGTTCTTTTTCAAACACAGCTGCCTGCTGAATTCCTATCAAGGAATGCTTTCCAAAAGGTGAAGGTTTTCCAGCTGGCCACGCTTACTGCCAGCAACGCTACCAGGAACCTGCCTCAGCACCCACCTCGGTTTCCACATTTTTAAGAAATCTCAGGCTGTTTTGGACATCCTCATTTATTGTTTGTCATGTTCTCTACTGTAACTGCAAAAACTCCCCTCCTCCAAACAAACCAGTGTTTACTGCAAAGTGGGAAGGGAAAAAAAGTCAATTAAAGCGTCTGTCAACACAATTACCTCCTTGGAAACATTAATTTAATGGAATAAAATGTTGATGTCTACCTAACGGTTCTGTCCTTTCTGGAATACAGCTGAGCATGAAAGCTGTTTTTACAGCCTAAATACTCACTTTCAAATTTCTAATGTGGACTTCACTCCTTACAATGTCTTATCAAATGTAGACAGAGTAAAAAATCCTAATACTTTAGCGCATTTTGTAACAAGCAGCACCGGTAATCAGCTACTTAAAAGCAGCATTCTGCTTTAAAGCACTGGCTTGGCATTCCTATAACAAGCTCTCTCGTGTTGCACGACAGAAGTTCAGTACGAGGGTATCAGCTTCCTTACAGGAGGAAAGTTAATATTAACAGACAGCACACAGCAGTAAAAACACGCAAGATTTGAAGAACTGAGTCCAAGTAAAACGAACGTGCCCAGGTCATGTAATTCAAACAGAAGATATCATCTCGGTGATACCGACCCTTCCTGCCCCCAACCCAGTATAAACCAAAGTGCTCATTTTAAGAAATTTATAAATGAGAAGTATCTACGTGAGTTAAGAGCAATCCAGCTCTGCTTGATATAGCCTGGAAATTCTTAATTTTCAGCAGGTTCATTAACAGATAATGCGGTGCAGCCTGTTAAACATTAGTCACCAGAAATAACAACTGCAGAGGGTGTTTCCAGATGTGCCAAGAAATTGTTACCAAAGAGGAAAACAAATCCCCCAAATTAAAACTATCCTCCAGACAAGGCCATCAATAAATTTCACCCGATGAACTCTGCAGATGTCATTAGTTTTAAATTCCTCTGTGCAAATTTATCTGCAGGAAGGGATAATTTATTCAGGAGGAATTAATTTAATCCTATCTCCAAGGGACGTAAGCTAAATAAATTTCTCTTGAACAAGGATGCCCAGAAAGCAGGTTACAGAGCACTGATGTTAATTCTCAGGTGTGCCCATACACACACACACCAAACGATAAATAACACGTTCACACATACAAATTTCTAACAACAAGAACAAAAAGAAAATAATGAAAAATCACCACAATCCCAAAGAGAAAATGATATTTCTATCTTTGAAACCAGTATCTGGGACACTAGTTTTTCAGATTTGTTTCTTCTATGCTGACAGGTGCACATCTGCACACATGTGGGTGACACTCAGACCGAACACATCTGACACCTTCGGTGCTGCTGAGAGCTTCCTCCCGGCTTTCTTGTAAACAGAAACCACAGCCACCAACGCTCTTCAGCAAAAAGAACTCCTCGGGAGTCAAACCCCCAGAGCTTCCTATGATCCACAGACAGCAGCGGCATCAAACACCCCCAGTTGTTTTGCAAAGCGCCCGGGCACCGACCCATGGCACCGGCAGGTCCCCAACGCTCTCAGGCCCCCGTACTACTGAGCTCCCGCCTGCGCCTCCAGTCCGGAGCTACGGCACCTGACACGTCGGAAAAACAAGCCCCGGCTGTGAGAAGCATCGAGTCTCCTTCAAGGAAACACACAACAACGAGCGCCGGGCGACACTTTGGGCCGCAGGATCCCTTCTCCTCTCCCCCCACCGCCTGAAATACCCCTCGGAG